CCAAAGGCCCGTAAGACGGGGCGGGGGCAGGGGAGCAGGGCCCCCCCCACCGAGGCCACGGCCTTGAGGTTGCCGGTGCTGCAGTCCCTGGCACATGGGCACTGTGGCCCCTCGGTCGGTGGCTTGGCCACTCGCCCCTCAAAGCCCAGTGGGTCCCTGTAGTGCGAGGGGCCGATGGGAAGGAAGACCTGCTTCTGGCGGAGGCTGTCGGGTCTGTCGCTGTGGGGGACATAGTCCCCCTTGCCGCCCTCCTCCCGGGGCCATGGGGCGGGTTGCTGCTTCTGCTTGCCGGGTGTCCGCTCAATGCACTGTGGGTCGATGGGCACAAAGACGTGGGCCGCCATCACGGGCAGCCCGGGGGCTTCCTCGTCTTTGGCCTCAGCTGGGGGGTAGGTGAGAGCAGCCTCCTCCAGATCTTCATGGCCCCCTTCAGGACTTGAGCGCCTCTTCGTCTCCGTGGGCTCTGACTGGCCCTGGGCACTGTGCTGGCACCGGTCCCATGGCAGGGTGGCATCAGGGTCCCCTGGGTGTTCATCCGGGGCTGGTGGTACCTTGTCCAGCGGGGCAGCCAGGGCCACCTTCCCCAGCTCCAGCAAAGCCACCTCCTCAGGGGGCAGAATGGGGTCAGCAGCAGCCATGAGAGTGGCCGGCTCAGTACCGCTGGGGATGCAGCTGGGGACTGGCAAGAAACTCTCCTGCGTTTTGGGGTGCCAAGAGGGGACTGGGTTCCCGTCTCTTCTGCTTCACCCTGCGCCAGGAGAAAGGAGACAGACAAAAAAACAGCAGAAATGAGAGGTTTGGGGTCATGCACACAGCCCCAGCTACAACATGGGGTGCAACTTGGCAGCCACCACCCCTGGAGTCCCCATCACCTGCCTGCCCTTCCACTATTAGGAGAAAGCAGAGCCTAGCGTCCCCATGCTCTCACGCCCCGCCAGCGCACCCAGCCCATGGCAGCGGGATCAGGGCTGTGGTAACATGTGTGGGCACCATTGCCCAGAGCTGGGCGCCTGGTGAGCCTCAGGTGTGAGGGTCTGGCTGCAAAATGGGGGCAGCCTGGGAATATCTTCCCCACCTGGCCAAACATCCCGGGGTTTCTGGCTGGGCACGAGCCTTGTGACTCGGGGGAGCTGGACACCGCTTGGCCAATGCAACTGGCTCCACCCGCAGCTCTGTCCCACGCCAGCATCAGCCGAGCCCCGATACTTGGGGAGAGCTGGCCAGGCCACATTTAAGAACCACAGCTAAAGCCAGGATAAGCCAGATTTGCTGCTTCTTGTGGCTGAGACTGACCTGGGGCGGGCACAGGAGGCTGCCAGGTGCCACTTGCTGTGGGGGAGCAGGAGATCCAGGCAGAAATCTCACATTTTTCCCTCTTAGCAGGGGATCCCCGTCTCTTAGCCCACCCCAGGTGTTGCTGGCTGCGGGCACGGGAGCCTTCTGCATGAAAACCTCTTTCTCTCTCTCTCCCTTCTGGGCGCATTCATCCCTGCACCCCCAGAAAGAGCCCTGGCCTGGCCATGGGGAAGGGGGAAACTGAGGCACAGAGTGGCATGGGGCTTCATCCGAGGTCCGCACAAGGGAGTATGGCTAAAGCAGTTTCCTGTCTCTCGCCCACCTCCACCTCCCCTCTCCCAGCCCCACTCACTAATCGCCCCATGGGACATGGGAGGAAGCTGGCACCGGGCTCCCCTCACTGCAAAACTTACTTGGAGAGAGGCGAGAGGCCATGGGCCTGGGGGCT